AAGAAGACGTTGCTTCATCTTCTTATTGTATATTGTTAGTTTAGGTTAGGTTAGGTCGTCGAAGAGTACTCTGCCGATGAGGGTGAGGAAGAAGATCTTGATATGGGTATTTTTTAAATCGTTAGTTTTATATAATTTTTCTGACACTGAAGTCAATTGGTTGGCCTGGTACAATGCAGGGCATAGGTAAAAATTACCATTGCTATGTAATAGATAATTGATATGGCATCATTGTATTTCTTTTAGAAACATGTCAATTGTCGTAGTGTTTACGAAAATTAAAAAATTCCGACGAACCTAAACATGGGCTTAAATTAAGAAAATAAACTGTACGAAAAAATTTGAATGGTTTATTGCATTATGGATGGTCTAGTATTATTATTTAGCAGTTTCTATAACAAGAAATTAATCAAAATGATGTAGTTCAAATTTTTTCAACACCGAAATTGGAGGACACATTTTAATAGTTTTAAGGTAAGAAAAAAATATTTTATAGCGTTTGCAGGCCAAAAAAGTATTTTGAAATGTGTTTCAGAAGGTCTAAAATCGTTTAAAAAAAAATAGCCCGTTCAACCGTTGGCGGATTTTTCATAATATACCATCACAGTGGGAATAATCTGCACCAGTAAACTCTATTTTAATCTAATTAACAAAATTAATCTGAAAAATAAGAAAGTGTATTAATTACGCCTGGTATTATGAAATCTAAAAAGGTGAAGTTTTGTAACCAAGGCTACCACTAAAAAGTTAGGTATCGCACCTTTCAACCTTCATGAGAACAATGTAAACCTTTTTCTAATTAAATTTTAAAAATCTACATTAAACAAAATTGTTGCTGCCCCAGATTATTTTCGGTGTGATAGTACCTGATGCCTTGTGTATTTTTTGTTTATCTAATATTTACTTATTCATATTTCTCGATTAACCTCAGTGGCGGGTAACTAAAAGAAGTGTAAATATTTGAAAAAAAAATCTTGAATACTAGGTCTATTAGAAATAAACTCATTTGACAAGTTGTTTGTTTTGATGCGCTAAATACGTGGTTAAAATCATTTCTTTTTTCTGGGACACCCTGTATGTATGCTACCTATGCGCGTACATAGTAGGAAGACTGACTTACGCTGACTTTAATTCATCAATAAATTAATAGTGATATTAGGAATAAACCGTTCATTTGTTTCCAGAGCGTTGATTAGGAAACTACTTATTAAGAAAATATTTTTAAAAGTATAAACTACATAGTATACAGCGGAATTAAAATAAACCAATGTAATTTTGTTTGGGAGTACCAAAAGAAAGTAAGTAGGTACATATTTTTTTTTATAAAATTTGTTTTTACTGGTATGTAAGAAACTCTCTTGGTATGGTAATATATTATATCAAGTGTCATAGTTTGTGTTTAATTTATCTTGAGAACAGACAACCCTGTAACGTATTTTGAAAATAGTAGTAAGCTGGTTTGAAAAACAAAACATTTATTTATTAGGCGTTGCGTAGACGATGGACAGAATCAACCGTATTATTTTAAACGTGCAAGGTTGAATTTAGTTAAATTGTTCTTTGTTTAAAAAATATGCAGTGTTGCATTCCAAGAAAAACAAAAAAATATTCAGAAATAGATGAATGTGCTAATTATATTTCAGTGAACAACATGAATACATTTATTTCATATACATCGATAAAAGTTATTTTTAAGTAAATATGATTATTTTGCCATAAAACCTCTTAATAAAGAAAATTTTTTCTGTTACATATTATGTAAGGAGAAATTTACAAACTGTAAATACTTTTAATTTTTAACACGTGTTTTTAGATTCGTTTTTATTTATTTTTTTATTTTTGTTAATGGATAATTGGATAAACACACAGTTCATTGATTGTTGGTAGGAAATATCCTATTTGAGTTATTTGACGGACATAAAAACAATATTAGTTGTACCTATGTTGCTGAGAATTCATACTTCCAACAAGCACGAAAACGATAATATTTCGGTACAAATCATGCTCGGTATATATTTTTTGTGTACAGCGCACGAGTTGTACCGAAATATTATCGTTTTCTCGTGTGTTAAGTCAAGATCCCCAACGTGACGGCTATGAACATGGACATTCTATTCTATAAATAAAATAATAATTATAATCAGTAATATTATATTGGTTATCAGTGCTTTAGTAGAAAAGACTAGAAATAAGTAATATTATATCCGTTATCAGTGTTTTCGTAGATTAGAGTAGATATTGCATTTTCCATTGTATTCTTTATTTTCTTTGTTTAGTTATAATTTGATAATCAAGGTTTTAACATTGTCATTTTTATTATTTGTAACTCGGATTTCAATACTTTTGAAATAAATATATTTCTAAAAATAACTTCGAAATCCCTTATTACTTAATTCGTGTGTTGGAATAGTCCTAATGATTATTATAAATTTTCAATGAAAACTAATTGAAATATGTATTTCTAAATACAGACGACTGTAAATATATTTTTGTGTGGCCGTCATATACAGGGTATTTATTGGAAAACGGACACGTGTTAGACATGAAACGGTGTCACTCACGCGATAAATATATAATAATTCATAATTCAAAATACTTTAAGATATGATTACGCGTATGCGTAAATAGCTCAAACAGTTAATATGTGTATTATGTGTTTATTATCTCTGGTGCTAGCGAGAAAAGAAATGCTATAACGTTGTATATTTGAAATTACAAAATCATTTTGCTATATAAATGAGCACAAAACTGAATCTATAAAAATGAAATGAAATTTGTGAACATTTTGGCTGTACAAAATGTAATAAGACTTGTTTTTTTTAATTAAATTATGAAACATTCCATGAAAAGCTATTTTTAAACTTATTATTTGAGAAGGATAGATGTGAAAAAACTTTAAACCCTTTTCATTGCAGTTAGAGCCTAACAAACACCGAATTAAATTAGTCATATGTCTGAATTGTGGTGAAAAAACTTCTATGTGCAGTAAAAGCGTTTGACTAAATTCACTTAAACTCAGGTGAGGCGTGGGAGATACGTCCTCTAATTATTGCTTGAGTGGAAAAGCAGGTGCTGGTAAAGCTCCGGTATAATAAAAACTGAACTCTGTCGTTTGACTATACATTTATTTTGTCAAAAATCATAAAAATGTATACTTTGAGCTAAAACTTTTTTTGTGTAGTCGTCGTCATCGACTGCTAAGGATATTAGCCTCGTGTTCGGTGTAGGCTTTGTTTAATTAAATAAAAATCCTTTCACGGATCCCTTCGATCTCAAAGTCAAGACTAGCCACTGACCCAACCCATCCCCTAAAAAAACATATTTTTTTTTCATTGGTGTCTTCGCCTATTATTATTAATTATTATTATTATTATTATTATTATTATTAAAATAATAGTCTCTGCCTGCGGGTCCAAGGGTCCCAGGTTCGAATCCCACCGTTGGCCGGGATTTTTTCATTTAATTTATTTATTTAAAATTAATTCTGACCCCTTGGTAGGATTCCCCACTCAACCATTCACTGTTGGGTTCTAATTAACAGTGCTGTTCCTAAAGTGGCGCTGGGAAACAGTAACAAAGCCTACATAGAACACGAGGCGAAATAACCTTAGCAATTGAAGCCGATGACACACCAAAAAAAAATAATAAGTATTCGTCCCTACTGCCTATTGCCGAAGAGGAACACAAACGTAACGTGTTGGTCAGTCACGTGATTTTCCGCATTTTTAAATTACTGCTTTTTATCGCGCTGTTTTTTACCATACTTGTTTTTTGCATTTCCACAAGAAACGTCCTTGCTTTTATACTTTTCAATAAAAAACTTGGTTTTATCGATCATCAAATAATTTTATTGGAGATACGTATCATTCGGTACAGGCCATCTTTTGGTGCAGCCTCAAATTTTAAATTTTTCGGACGTATAATACTCGCCCTATAATTCACTCCGTTACGAGCGAATGAAACTCTAAAAGACGAGCTGGTGTCGAGGAGAGACGACTTTTATTATAATTTGTCAAGGGGCTCCGGGACGACTTAATTTGCCATACAGGTGAGGAAAACCTCAACCACCATCATGGACACGGTAATAGAAATTACTGCTAATACGCCACTTATTAAAATCCACAACGAATCATGCCTATTAATGAAAACTTTACGTGGTTTGCTGTGGCATCCAAAATAGCTCAGCGCTTTCCTCTAAAGGCCAGTAAATGTGTTTACGGCCGCTCAACAAGGGTTGCATAGGCGTATGGTTTTTTTTATTGGTGGTGGTATTTTTACTGTTGGAAATTTTGTGATAAACAATTCATTATACAAGCTGTTTTTTACTGTGGTAAGTGACTTTTAAGATCACATAGTGTATGACCTGTTATGGCGATTACGAACATACACAAAGTCCAATAGAATTGCTTATTTTAGAAACAACATAAGTCACATTTTGTCCATATTGAGTTTATCCAAAGATAAGAGATGTAAGTACAAACAAATATCGTGCTCTCGTGAATAAGACATTCTAAGGGTATGATATCCGCTGTTTTCATGCCTGTTTCATCCTCGTTTTGTTTACAAAATTATTTACATATCTTAAAAAAGCTAAAATAATTTAACGTATTTTATTGCAACTGAACCCAAAAAATTTTGAATCGTTAGTTATCTCAAATTTAACTAAACTAGATCTAATTTCACTAAATTACATGTAATAAATTCCAAAACCTTGTTAATATTAAGTTGGATAAGTATTTTGTACTAGATGTGGCAATATGGATTGTCATTTTGTATGTTGTTTATTACGTCGGTATAACCGCTTACACATATATTCAACATGGCTCGTATTTCTGTCTTTTTCGGTCCTGGCCTACTTTAAAAGCATTTTTCATGGATCACTCGTTTTGATCATAATTGAACAGTAAACATAATACTTGATCCGAATAGTTAGGCATTTTTAATAACTAATAGAGTCGTAATGGCATTTTCAAAATTCTCATATTATTATTTAATTACAGGAAATGTCTCCTCCACCATATTCAGACCTCGGCAAAAAAGCCAAAGATGTCTTCAGTAAGGGATACCACTTTGGCCTGATCAAATTGGATTGCAAAACAACGACAGCGCATGGTGTTCAATTTAACACTGGTGGAGTATCTGATCAGGAATCGGGAAAAGTGACTGGCAGCTTGGAAAGCAAATACACAGTTAAAGATTATGGTTTAACTTTTACAGAAAAGTGGAGTACCAGCAACACTTTGGGCACCGAAGTGTCAATGGTTGATCAAGGTTTAAAAGGTCTTAAACTAACTGCTGGTATCAATTTTTCTCCACAAGAAGGGTAAGTTTTTTTATGAATTTGTTACATCACAACATTAATAGGTTAATCGCCCAACAATAGGTTTACAGTTTAAATTTGATATGATAACATACGTAACAAAAATTTTGGTAAAAATTGCTTCCTTATTGCAAATGCTTTTAAATCTATTATGTGGAAATCGTCTTATGTATTCTGTGAAAATGGTCATGGAACAACATATAGTATAGAATAAAAGCTATGTGTTGTTCCATGACAATTTCCACAGAATTCATTAGACGATTTCCGCATAATAGATTTAAAAGCATTTGCAATATGGAGGCAATTTTTGTCAACACTTTTGTTAGTATTAAAGGATCATAAGAAGTTTAACAATTATGGATGTTTATTTATAGTTAAAAATGGTGATGAGTTCAAACCACGATTGATGACAGTTATAGGTTTTAAAAACAAAAGAAAACTTGGCTCAAACTCACTAGTGTAACTATTTACGGCAGCAGTGTTGACAACGGCCAGGATTTTGTTCGATTTTCGGGTATTCTTATCCAACTTTTGAACTGTCGTAAATTGAATATTGCCTTGCACAGTCATTTTAAAACATTTTTATTGCTTCTTTAGTCATTGTTGCATTTTATTAGTGACTTGGTATAATATCGGGTATTCTGTAATTTTTTAATAAGAATTTTCACATTTTGACCCTGGCAACACTGGAACACAGTTCTGTAAAAAATGGCACCTAATTTTTTACCTATCAGAAGTAAAAATTTAAATCGTGCAAATCAGTTTATTTTAGCTTTTATCTAATAAAAAAATAATTTATAAACAAGTTATAAAAGTAATTTTAAAAAACTGACAAGAAAATCGTGCATATGCCATTACAAATTATTGAGTTTACTAATTTTCTCATAGATCCCATTACCAGCTCTGTTCCAAATTTATATGGGACCACCCTGAGGTACCCCCTTTCTAACAAAAAAAGAATCTTAGAAATCGGTCAAGGTGGTAAAGAATTATTGCTGAATATACACACAAAAATGAAGAGTGATGAATTTCTTCTCATGGATCCAATTATTAGATCTTGACCAAATTTATATGAGACCACCTCTGAAGTACCCCCTTTCCAACAAAAACAGGTAGAAATCGGAAAACTTGGTAAAGAATTATCGCTGAAAATGCATTAAAAAAAACTATTCAGACGAATTGAGAACCTCCTCCTTTTACAAAGTCTGTTAAAAATCAACAAACGAATCACAGACTATGGAAACAAAAGCTGAAAAATGGAATGGTCAACAGATTGTTTACTGTTAGTGTTGTTTTCTAAGTAGTGATTTTTTATAAAACCTACTAAACAGTGAATGTTTAAGATCTAATAAATATACTCCAAACTCCAATAATTAAGGTACTACTAGATACAGTGAAATGGTTGCCAAGTTAGCTACAGTATTTATATTCAAGATAAAATAGAGTTGCAGTCCAAGGCTTTAATCCTAGTGATGATGAGGATCAAGATAATGGAGAAAACTATGATTGCAATGTAATGAAAAATGGTTCCATTAATACCTTAATTAATACAGTGTGAGAAAAAAACGTAAAATTTAGATTATAGAAATAATGCAGAAATACGCTTACCTGATATAAAGGAGTGTGTGATTTTTGTTCGATTCATTGGGTAGTTCGCTAGTTTATTTGTACAACAAATCAAATCTTGTTTTTTGCGAAAACATTGATAACGTCATTGAAGTCCACTGTTGAAGAAATCTTTTTAAATGATTAACATGGCAATTGTATTTAGTCAATCCTGTTGCGTTATATTTCTCAGTGAGGATTTAATCCTTTTCAATGTAGAAAAATAACGTTCACTTTCGACACTGGTCATCGGAATCGTACAGATTACTTTTAATAACGTAACAGTTTCACTAAGGCCCAATTCCACCGCTAGTAGTTAAGAAATAAACTAGGTTCAAAATTACATTTTTACATTAACAATGTCATTTTAATCTTCGCTTTTCATCGATTAAGTAGTTGTAAAATTGCTAAGGCACTTACTGCAATATTAAAATCTTTTCTGCCATAAAAAATAATTAAAAAGTTTTAATGCCAAAACATGATCTGTAAACTGAAAACGATCTTTGGCCTGATTAATCAGTATATCGCGAACTCACTTTTTTTAGTACAGAAAAGGATATTTACTGATTGTGCTTCTTCAAACGTATATGTCAAATTTAAAGATGTTAAGCTATTGCATAGCTTTTATCGCGGAAAAATCGAAAAATAAAAAATCGAAAAATAAAAAAATAAAAAATCGAAAAGTCGAAAAATCGAAAAATTTAAAAATTTAAAAATTTAAAGATCGAAAAATCGAAAAAAGAAATTCCGTAACGAAAATAAACCTAACACCCCCCCACTCCGACTGGCACAGCGGTGCGGCGTTGAAAGCCGTGCATCGTCTAACGTCGTTTCAGTTCGGCAGACTTCGGCACTTCAAAAAGTTAACTTGAATTATTAGGTATCAAAGAAAGAACTTGAATTAATATCAAAAAAAAAAAAAATACTGCATAAATAAAATAAATAATTATAATTGCATAAGTTGATAAATAATGCTATGCAATAGCTTTACCGCGGCAGTCACCGAGTGCCACACGTATTTTTTTTATTAAAAGTTTGATTAGAAGTTGACAGTTAACTTCCATTTTTGCGTCACACTAATATGGCGTATTCTCAGTATGGGAGCGTTCTAGTATTACGTAAGCAGCCTTAGGGGGCGGGGTTTCAACTTTTTCTTATTTTTGCTGATAAAGTGAGTGGGGGATGGGTCTATAATCATTTGAAACTTTGCCTACGTAATACTCGAAAGTAAGTATTAAATGATAATAAATATATGTTGAAAATTGGACGCCAGTTGCATTATTTTTAATTTGATAAAAGGTGAAATAAACTGTGATTTGCATGAAAAGGGGTTAAAAATTAATTGCCGTAAATATTCTAACGAATCTAATGGATTTTGACTCGTACCTGTTTTTAGATTGAAACATTAATTGTCTTAAAAACTTAAAATCGCGGAGTGTAGGGTGATTAATGTATTAATAACGAATTAAAAATATAAATATTCAAAGAAAATATGTTAATTAGTTTAGTGATTACAAAAATTTTCTAATTGGATTGCAGTTTACAATCAGGTGTTGCTAAAGCCGGCTTCCAAAATGATAGGGTCGCATTAAACGCAGATGCAGATTTGACCACTAGCAACCAGATCGTTCAGGCTTCTGCAGTGGTAGGTCACCAGGGGTGGTTAGCTGGTTACCAGGGAGCATTTGATGTTCAAAATTCAAAATTGACCAAGAGCAACTTCGCCTTAGGATTCTCAACCAAAGACTTTATCCTTCACACACAAGTGTAAGTACACTGCATGATAAATCAATTTTGGATAATTATTTTTTAATATTTTAAAAAAATTCTTACACGAACATTATGTCTAACAGGTAATTGAGGATTTTTTTTTATTTTGAATTTTAAAAGTTACTTTTTCACTTTGATATATTTAAAATATTTTTATTAAAAGATTTGTGATATTGATTATTGATAAAGTGTTGGCAAGGTGGACAAAAAGTTGACACTGAAATTATTCTTTATTTCATCATTCATCATTTCTACTAAGAGCTTGTTAGTCAACGGGTAGCTAAACATGTATTTATTTATATAAAAAGAAAAGTGAGCATTAAGTGTAATGGAATTTTTCATAAAATATGATTTTTATTTTTTAATTTTCAGTGGCTTATTAAGTTTTTACAATTGCAAAGAATTATGTTCATTGTGACAATGGGCTTGTTTAGTATAAACGAATTTAATTAATCTGATGCTATAAACTTTTTAAACAAAAAACTTTTTTATACAATAAATACTTTAAATTAATAGAGGGTTTTGAAGAGCTTATTTTCATTGTTCGCTGAAGATTCGGAGGAGCCATAACAGACAGTTCCACCACTGTATAGAGGAAAACGAGAAGTAAAATCATTCGGTAGTGGCGCCTTTGATGGTTCACGTTCAGGTTTTGTGCTTGCCATTTTTACGAGGGTTTAGCGCAATTTTAACAAGCCAGAAATATGGCGTGCTAGGGGTAACAATATAATTTAAAAATTTTACATTGGATAAAATGACGTTAGTAAATTTTAACAACAAGATGGTGTCCAGTAATTCTACTTCCCTTTTACCTTTATACAGTGGGTTGAATAATAATACAGATATCGGAATAAAATTAGGTTGGTATGTTTGTTTATATGTGTTTGGTAACCTCTCCTCGATTCTGAAAAAAGTAATAAAGTCAATCTCTTTCAACCAAAGAAAGTTTAATTTTACAGCTAAGAAAATGTGTCAGAATCCACCTTGAGTAAGTTGTCTGAAGATCCTTCTGTAAATCTTATTTGCACTTTATCAATTTTTAAAAAAATTAATAACGAATCATAATTTAAAATAAATCAAAACATCAACATTTGCAAACTAGGTTAGGAAACAACTTTGCCGCATGTTTGGGATGTAAAATAAAGTGTTTCACTATTATTAACTCTGATTAAGAAGATTTTTCATTTAAATAGTGCCAGGTTGCTTTATAATAACGGAATTTAAATAAATATGGCTTTATTTTGAATAGGTATAAATACGGAATGTTCAACACGAATAGTATACCCTGAACAATGGGAATATACTCATAAAAGGGCAAAACCGTTGCCAGAGGGTATCGATATGACAGTGGTATCTGTCTGACATATGTGTACATGTTCCATTATACCTTGTTTAATTTGTAAGCTATATTTTCCGTTAAATTATTGTATTAACCGTCTAATGAATGTCGGTTATCTGGGATTTTTGTAATTGAACAAAAAAAAACATATGAAAAGTTGTAAAGGGAAAAACAAAAACAAAATTAATGTTGTTCCATCAGAAAAATGATTTTCTAAATTTCACTAAACACGCCCATTGTTTACTTAGCGGGGGTATATTATATACTCAAATTTAATTTTTATAGTAGTTCCTACATTTTAAATATCGTAAATTGTTCGGTACATTCTCATAATCAAAATTTTCCCTTTAAACCCAGTATTCCATATTAAACGAAAACTAGTAAGAAGTATTTAATTACAAAAATTACAATTTTTAAAAGAACTTTGTCCTATTGGAAGATATTTGCATAGCGATAAACAAACACCGAACTGAAATTTATATTTTATATTTAGACTTCCGAAAAGAGCATATGCTTATTTATTATGCACCTTGTAAAATAAGTTATATTTTGATATCCAGAGATAAGGCGGATGAAGAAACTGAAGAGAAGCAAATATTCGTTGGTAGTATCTATCAAAAACTCTCTCAGAAACTGACAGCGGGCATTAACGTAATGTGGAAACAGTGCGGTGGAGAGGCGGGTTTTGATTTAGGTTGCTCGTACGAATTGGACGGCGACGCTACTGTACGAGCTAAAGTTGACAATAAGGTTCAAGTCGGTTTGAGTTATACTCAACGTTTACGCGAAGGTAAGCCTGCATTCTTAAAATTAGTCACCTGTTATGTTACAATAAAGGCTACATTATACTGGAATTTCAATTTGTTCATTTTCTGACTTATATTCGATATTCTTTGAAATAGAGCACCCAAATGACATCTTGTTGTTTCAAAACAAAATGATTTGTTAAAATGCTCTTTCAATGCATTTTTAATCTTGTGACAAAAACCAAGTAGTAAACAGTATATAATGTACCGAGATAAAATATTTAATTACTGCCTTATACATCTCGCATCCTTAGGAATGAGATTTTCAAACTATTTTATTTAGTTATTCTTAAAAGTATACCTTTAGAAATGTTATTATTTTCATCACCTACTTACTCATCATTATAACGAATGGGTGATTAGAGTAATGTTGTATACATGGTGTTGTTGAATTACATGTATGTATTAAAAATGACAAGTGTATGATGCCCAAAAACAAATGGCACCCATTTTATCATTAAATTATAAAATTCACCTTTTTTTCTGACCATTATTCTATGCTTGTTTGTTAAATCCAACCTATTCTTGCGCCCACATGGTTTAACTGTTCAAAGTATGTATCGGTTAAGTTACTATAAACGTATATGTTAGGAAGCCGTTAAGAATCTGTACTTGCCGAACATTTCCCATGCAGTCCCTTACACTAAAATCATATACATCAATTCAATGTTAGTAAATTGTATTGTAAAAAATAGATGCCAATTTGACAATAACTCTACAAAACAACATGCATGTCTAAACATTGAGCAGTGACACTCTCTGTCCTTTCTCTTTTGACATGTATTTTTATATTATTGATTTATACTGTAGAATTCTATAAACGCTTTGCCAGTACTCTGAGTAGCAGTCGCGATTCATGGAGGTCAACACATCGTACATTCTCAGAATGTTACCAACCCATCTAAAAATGTGCCTGAAATGTAATGTAGATATAATTATTTTTTTTTTGTCAAATATGTCAATTTCTGACAAATGACGTTCCGCTTAGATTTGATAATGTTCATTTAATTTTGAGTTTGTATCATATTTGGATTTTTGATTATTTGTAATAATAATAATCCTCTATTTGTGGCGAATATATTAGCTGCTGAAGAGAAGGAACGATTGAAACACCTCCGTTTGGAAAATGTATCTGTTTGCTTTTCCAACAATTGACCATTCATTTGGCTCGTTGAATTTGTTTGTCATAATTTACAGTTTTTTTTTTTCACACGCGTCCAGAAAGAAGAGGAAATATTATTTTTTCTCGAATGTGGTCAAATTACTTCAAATAAAATCACAAAATCTATACCACATATATTTTAATAACAAATTTTGCTTCAACTAATGTATTTATTTAACGGATATAGCATTTTACAAAAGAAGAATACAATATGTGTGAGAACGTTAAAAGAGGATACTAAAATCTTGAATTAAAAAAGAAAAAAAATAATACATTCTAATTTAGCACTTAAAATATATTAAAGATGTGCCAAATAATTCTATGTTAGCATTGTAAGTATTCGCAACACTAAGTATTTTTGAAATAGTTTCATTTTGTTTGTGTTAAAATTCACTAGCTTCAACAAATCAGGACAGTAAATTGCACCACTCAGTAACTTGTGAAGAAAGCAGGGAGATAATTCCGTTCTGAGGTGCTTAAGAGAATTCAAATTAAGCTTTAACAAAACGTCATAATTGTTACTTCCTGCAGGAAAACCCGAGGGAAAACCCATTTTATATGCAGCTTATTTTAAAAATGTATGTTAAATTCTTTTAATTATATCAAGCCCCTTTGACTATAGGGATTCTATAAGATGCAATTATACAATAAATGATAAATTAACCATATCTCAAATGTGGTCAATTTACTCAAAATCAGTACCACATCAATTTTATTAAAATTAAATACAGGAGCGACTAGATTCGGTCTCACTGGACCATCTTCAGGCCTGTAATACAACAATCCTTAGTTGTAATAGGAAAAAGGACGTTTTATTCTTTGATTGAACAATATGATAATTTTATTACATCAATTGAAAAATGATTGAAAGATCTCTTAATGAAGCCTGATATTTTTAATGCCTTTGAAGTAATTAGGGAATAATGAGATTGAAATAATAATTTGGGATCTAAAATGTAACATCAAGATCTTTAATAGTGTCTGCTCTATGAAGTGGATTGTTGTGTAGTGTGTAATTGGACTGAGCTAGATTGTTATTTCTATGAAGCGTGATTTGGTGATATTCCTTTGGGTTTAACCTAAGTAGATTTATTTTACACCATCTAACATGGTTATCTATTTCAAATTGAAACAATATGGACATCCTCAATAATATTTATAGAGACAAAAGGGCCTAAATGTGACCCTTCTGGTACACCTGAAGATGCCAATATCACTGATGATGCAACATAATATCTTACATACTGAGTATGCCCTTTAAGGTAACTGCCGAGCCATGAAAGCTTATTAAAATATATGTGGTACAGATTTTGTGATTTTATTTTTCATTCTTTGAAATTTTTACTTTTGTTACCTCTGTTAGTTTTTTTTTCACTCGCAATCTTAAATCAAGTGTCAAATGATTTAAAATCAAAAAGAAATTGTGATCGTTTGCCTACTTTAGTAGAAAACTATATGTCTTGACGTCTCGCTTCATGGCGATAGTCACAGTCTATATGGCACGAAGTCCAGCTGCAGGAATGAGATCTGTGTTTACCTAGTAGTACAAAATCCCGACTTAAATCGACCCCTTTCCTAATTAAGGGCCAGTCTTTTCACCTCTTGAGTAAAGTTGAAAGTAATTACTTGCTGATTAATATGAAACTTTACTCAGAGAAGAAAAGGTCGACTCTAAATATATATTTTATACAATATAATGTATAAATAAACACAAATTGCCAGGGTTGTCGCCCCATATCCGGTCCAGGCTATTTTTAATTAAATTTATTTCCCAAAATTTGTATGGATCGCACCAACTATAAGCTATTGGCCAACTTTTGTCACGCCATTCCTATACCCTACATCACTGTGTCCTTAATTAAATTATCCACATTTTTGTATATAAACTGTTAGGAAAAATGATTGGGGTAAATTACTTATCTGAGCTTACCTGTTTATATCGGCAAACTCGGTATTATGGTCAGGAAAAAGGTAGCCAACCCTATTTTGACGTTTTATTTAAATCAATAAAAATTTATTCAAATAATTTTTATTTAAAAATAGCGGCACGTTGTGTTTATTTGTACATTATATTATAAAAAATACATAATTAAGAAAAAGGATGAGGGGAAGGTCGACTTGAGTGAGGATCTTAGAGCATTCCTAAGGAATCTTGTATCAGCGTGTACTTCCATCCCTTTCCATATATAAGGTTTGTTTCCACAGCAATCAGAAATGTCACTGGTCACAGACTCACTATTTATTGCGCATAATCGCACACATCAGTAACTTTTGTATTTCTTATAACTGTGGAAAAATATATTACATTTTTATGAAAGCTAGTACATTTCTTGTATCTAATATTTTTTTTTTATTGGGTATTTGAGCAGAATATTGAGATAAAAAATGCAGACCTTAGGCTTGATTTAACATATTTTTTTTCAGATGTTTTCACTTTCTAAATATTAATTATATTTTAACACCATGTATACTGTGTTATTTATAAGTTAAAAAGTAATCTTGGTAAAGCAAGTTACTTACTTTCTAATTATTTAATGCTCTATCTCTTGATTGTGAATAAACAAATATCAACTGTTTTTTAGAACATAGCAATGTTGGTACATTATAGAAGAGTCTGTATAAGGATTTCAAAAGACGAGGTCAAATTTATAAATGAACATCATTGAAAATACTTTAAAATTAATGTAACCTTTATACAAAATAGAGGGTGGAAAGACAGTGCCTTGTAAATTTGTATTTTATTGTTCGAAAGTGTGGAACAATTATGTATTGGGCACAAAAAACAACTTTGCATCCAATTTTTATGAAACGCGTTGGCTATTCAATAATTATTCTTCTGGTATTTTTAACACCATATAAAGTTAAAATTTAAAATATATAAATTCTTTGTAAATTCGCAAATAAAATTTTCAAATCACCGCTAAAAATTAATGAAAACAATTTTTGAACCCCTTAAAGTGAAAACAAATTATTGAAAAATTGAAAAAACTCACGGTTTATATATTAGAATCTAACTTTAGTGTTTTTTTGTCTTTAAAATGTTTACAGATTTTAGTAAATATAATTTTATACATATGTTATTACGTTTTTAATTAATTAAAACTATTGTAGGATGTTACTATGGAATTAGAATGTCCAATTCGATAAAAAATATCATGGTCCTATTTATAATAATGCAACAATTTACAAAATTAATTTTATTTCGTAATCAATCTTATTCTGTATTATTTATTTTCTCAATATCGGCTTTTACCGGTAGTTGGTAGTTGTCTACGGGCTGATACCTAAGCAGACAGAAAGTATGTAAATCAGATTGTTACTGAATATTTAGAAATGGCCTTCTTATATTACATGTGAAAAATGTGATCGCTTTCTGGATGGGACATTGATAATGCATTTAAGGTACCTATAAATGATTTTGGTATAATTCCTGTTGTTGAGAGAACCGCTGCTAAAATTGTAACTTTATTATTTATTGTTCTTTAATTTCCACTGCCAGTTCCGATATTTGTTTATTTTTGTATTATGTGAATCCTGGAGGCTACATCTATTAAGATTGTTCATTTTTCTATTTTAATAATTAAAGTTATATTTCGTCTATTTTTTTGAACAGTATGGCCCGTTCTGTCCCAGTATAACACAACGATGTCATTTTCCATGTCCCTATAATGAGTATATTTATTATAAGGGATGTTTTCTTGGCATAGCGAGAAATTTAGTGCCATTTTCTGGCGAATTATCTTTGCCACCTGATCATGCCTGACCTTACACTCTGCTTGTACAATTGACTGACACCCTGTTGTTATATGGTGAATAGTTTCT